GAGGTTGATAAAATAAGGTCATCCTTGTAACTTAGAGAGATATTTTATTATGTAGGTAGGAACTGTATGCATCGCTAAGGTTAATTTAAATTGGCTATGCTCAAGTATGTAGACAAGCTAACGTCGAAGTAGTGTATGTGAAATCAACCTCACAATAAGATGTGTGTATATTACAATTATTAATGTCATATTTCAAGATGATTACTTAGATATTACAATATGGTTGGTTGAGCTGGAGTTCATTATTGAGCTTACACGTTAACGTCACAGTCATCTGAAGAACGAACCCAAACCTTGCTGTTTTTATTAATTGCATTACCAAATTGGTGTCAAATAAACAGTAAGCTTTGGTAACACAACTTCCAAAGTTACAGTAAAATAAAAAGGACCCTGACTCGGCCAATACACAATCCAACATGTTCAACAGAAGATAATCAGTTATATTGTTTGTACACATGGTACTTTACATATATATCTGTTTGTTTAAAGTGTGCAGGTGATGCAGACAGGCTGGACCAGAGAGTGAGAGACAGAACTGGACTCCTCACAGCAGTGAACTTCAGCACAGGTACAAATACTCTTTTTTCATACTGTACAAAGAATCAAGAAAGATATTGGTTTAAATAAATGAAGTATTGACTTTAATACACTGATATACATTCCATTAAACAATACTAAATACTAGATCACCTACACATCAGTGAAGTTGAGGGTTTTTTCCATGCAAAGGGTTACATTTAGATGTTAACAAGCAATATGACTTTGTCAGCTTTCTAATTTAATGTATTGAAGGCAAAGATATTTAACGCATAGTGACAACTGCTATTTATCTCTCAATATTGTCTGTAAAAAACGTGGTAAAAGTGATTCAGTGAGACAACAGAGCAAGCTTCTACAGTTGCACTAAGTTTTGATAACAGTTAAATATTATTTTGATAATAAAATACATTTCAATGTTGATGAATTTCATACTGTTCATTCATAATCTGATTGTCTTTGTAGCTCACTGTTGAAATAAAAAAAAACATTACAATTACAAAATAATTATATCTACAGCCCCTAAACACACAAACACACCTCTTTCATAAATAACACACTTGTTCTGCAATAATATGTTTTATGTTTCCTGTAATTTTTGTTAGGAAAGGACATGCCTGAAAGACACGACTCAACATTTTCTCCTCTTTCTCTGAGGGTCAAGAAGAACATCCAATAGGAACATTAAAAGCTGATGTTATGAGATGTTAAGACCAGTACAGGACATTCACTAAGAAACTATTTTCTATTGTGAAAACACAGTCAGCTGATCGAATGCACCTATTTCCACATCTACACTCCATCAGCTGATTATTTCTATTTGCCTCACTTTATGAGCTTCACAACATGTGCCTTGTACCGCAGAGTTTGCAACGTCACAAATAAATGGGGCCAATCTTCAGTCAGATGTGAATGTGTAATCTAACATTTTCAGTAAGAATAATGGACAAAAGGAGTGCAAATACAAATTCAATTTATTGAAATGTGAACCAAAAGTTAATCAAACATGTTTTAAATAAAAAGCACATATGGACAGAAGGTGTAAACCTATTAAATGTATAAGTAAACACATTTAGTCAAATAAAGTGACAGACTGGGCCTGATCAGGTGGTATCAGCTATGCATGGGCTCCTCCATCAGGCCTGGTCCTCCTCGCAGAGGAAAGACCCTCAGTCCTCTCCGGCCAAACCAACAGACAGGACGTCCATCACACGGAGGTTTCTCCCTGAAGTCTCTGCAGCTCTCTGGACACCACGCTGTCTCAATCCGTCCATCACACGGAGGTTTCTCTCTGAAGTCTCTGCAGCTCTCTGGACACCACGCTGTCTCAATCCGTCCACACTCCACACTGAATATGAGGGGAAAAATGAAAATAATAAATGTTTTAGACAATAAGAAATATAAAAGTGAACCGTTGAGTTGCTCAGTTTTTTTAGATTGTCAATACTATTACTGTATAACTAATATCTCAGGTTAAGAGGCAGCTTCAAATAAAGATTGGTCTTTAAATACATTTTGTCTTTTGAATTGTTTGTCTAAAGTCAAGGATCTAGAACTGGTACTTATAGTTTTAATGATACAGTCTGGTTATAATGCTGTTTGGAGGAGGCCTCACAGGTAAGAGCACTAACTAGCTATTATCACATGCACCTTAGCTTAACTTAAATGTATTAAACGTATAATTAAGTGATGGCAAAATATAAATAACTAATGTCATGCAAACATATTAATATTTGCTTGATTCCAGTGTTGCATTTAGCACATTGCATACAAACGTTAAGGGATTTTAAGATTCTGAAGTATTATGCTAAAAACTCAACTTAGATTATTATTTATAGTTTTGCTGAATAGTCTCATGTCCGTTTACCTTAGAAACGTACAATGCGACGGCAGTGTGCAGATGGGGAGCATGTTAGCTTAGCTTGGTAGCTTGAGCTAGCTCTGTTACGGTGCGTCTACACAGCAGCGTTAAAAAAATCTTGGAGGTGGGCGTATCTGAAGCTTGAGGATTTTTTGCGAGCAAGGCACGAACAACCAATCACATGAATCTCCCGCCCGCGACATACGAAGCAAAAAAGCCCGAAGTAAACTGGATATAAACTCCCCAAAACAGGCGAAAACCTACCACTGTCTCTGCCACCTCCCTCCATGCCTGGCTCCTCCGGTTTATATGCCGGTAGGTCAGGTCATAAAGCACCGGGTGATTGATTCGCTACCGCTAATTTCTCCTCCATTTTTTGGAATATGAGGAAATGAATGGGCAGAAGCGTTTCAAGATTTTTTAACGCTGCTGTGGAGACGGCCCGTTACTTCCATGGTTACTTCCAGCTCGGAGGCAGCAGGTCCCGCCTCGGCTCCGCCTCTTTGCCCTTATTTGGAGCAGGCGGGAGTGGAACTCTGACGTCACTGTCGAGCCGTTAGTGGCCGACTCCGCCTACTAAGGGCTTCTCGGCAACTCTGCAGAATCCTATGGGAGACGTCACGGACCCTACGTCCATTTATATATACAGTCTATGGGTTAAGCCTTCAAATAATTCAATTTCATTACGGTTTCATGTCCTTTTTCTCTTTGTGGAGAATGAATTAGTGGACCATCTGGGTGACAGACTGACACTGAGACTGCACCTTAATTATTCATGTCTAAAAACATCTGTTACTTCTTTTGTCCAACGGCAAACACATGGAATTATTGTGCTTCCACTACTCAAATTAGAAACTGGGCAAAAGCATTTACCTGATTTCCCCCGGGAAAAAAGTAATCTGATTCGGATTCTGACTCTGAAAAGACAACAGTGCCACCTGCTGGCATGACACCAGAACTGTAGCAAGATGTACCACATACTGACTGTGATGCAGGTTTTGCTTGCATTATGTCAATAAAGAAGGGCTTCTTTATTCTATTTGAACAATGCCTTTCTTTTTGTCTACACAAAACACAGTCATGTCCATGTGTAATAAGTTGGGGTAACACCATAAAGCAAGGGAATTAAGCTTCTCTCATCGTGGTATAATACTTTTGGGCTGATAATGAGTAATTAGGATGGTTTTATTGATGATGATATATCATTTCCGACAGAATAAATAAAGTATTCTGATCATGTTCCAATTTTGCTCCCCAAATATGTTACACTGCCCCTTTAAGTTTCCAAAGATATAATGTCAGATAAAGAACACTGTGACACACAGGGGGCTAATGTCAGACTGCATAAAGCAGACTGAAGTGCTATTGGCAGGCTGAGGGCCACACATTGGCAGGCTGAGGGCCACAGATTAGCAGGCTGAGGGCCATACATTGGCAGGCTGCTGGGGGCTTCAGCTTGGCTCCAGCTCCTGAGGTTTGCTGCCCAGCATATCAATGGGGTTGACTACACAGAGGACACATTCCTCAAACAAGAAGTGACTGCTGAGAATAAAAGGGCCGTCATTTACACCCCTCCACATCCTGCAAACATGGACGATTTGGGGCTGGTATCATTTTAAGGTTTTAACAATTTTTTCTAGACTTCATTTATCATGGACTTTTTAACAATTTAAAGGAGAATAAAAAATTCAGTCGACATATTGAACTTTTAAATATCTATTCTGAATAAAGGGGTGCATGAATGAGTCCTAAAACACAGAAATTAGATGGCATTTAAGCACATTCTGTTGTCTCATCTTGAACTCAACAGATTTTTGTATGAGTTTTGGTTAGAGGCCAAAAGAAAGGCTGTGGTTAACACAAGCTGAAGAGATTTTCACGGTCAGTAATTACCCCACTGGTGAATGTCTGAGGCTTCTATGTGTCATTTGAAACTGTTTTTGCTAACAAGTAATTAAATGAGACCACTTAACATCATCACTACTAACACAAGTCCGCCGTTAGCTTAGCGGAGTAACGTTAGCTTTTCACTTCTGCCGATAGCATCTATGCTTCAAATATTATAAAATTGGTGTCAATAGGAAATAATGCTGTTGAACAAAACGTGTAAATATTTCAACATTATTTTTGCAATATTCCGAAATCCAATTGAAAAATCTCATTGCTTTCTGTCAAGGGAGCCCTTGCGATGCTAACTTTCTACACAAATCCCTTATCACTGCACCACTTATTTTATTCTGCTTTGTGTGCTAAGTTTTTTTATTTCAGTTATGCTAATATCCACAAGATGCCAGTGTAGAGCTGCTTGTATTTGAACTGACTGTAGACTTGGTGCAAAACTTTAGAATTGGCCGGCTTTATAGGCTACAGTTCAAACTCAGCACAATGGTTATGTAAGCCAGGCTGAAATGTGCTGCCAGGCCCCAGCAGCTCCCAACTTCAGACCAAAGAGCAGCACTCTGAACTCTCCAGGAAGGGGGGGGGGGGGGGCTATAATGTGAGCTTACCTAGGCTCCATGATATTAGAACACTTTGTTTTTTTTGCCCATCGGTCATCTTTTGATTACATTGTGTATAGAATTGGATAAACTCTTCCTCAAACTTCATTTCAAACAATCAATCAATTTTTATTAATATGGCTCAATATCAAAAATTACAAATGTGTCTCAGTGGGCTTTACAGACTGTACAGCAGGAAGAACTCCCAAAGAAACCCCACAATTAACAGAAGAAAATGTTATAAAAGCCGGAGAGAGCGACGTACAATAGTTGTCATGTGTACAGCATTAATAACACAATAAAATTACAACATAGACAATACAAGTGACAAAAATGATAATGCAAACATATGAGAAAGATTAACACACATGTGGTCCAGGTATAGGTATCGTATACTAAATTGATGACATCATAACATACCCATACATTCATCCAGTGGGAATTTACTGGGAAATATGACATTCAGACTAACTGTCAAATATGTTTCGTAACAAATCACTGAGATGGTGCCACACATGTTTAGATGAAACATTCAACACTGTCATGGACAATTACAAATAAACGACTATATAAACATTTAGAAAAGAATGGATACCACTACTGGCAGGTAAAAAAAAAAGGGAAAGCCCACCCCTGCAAAGTGTTAGGTTACCTCATAAATAACCTCTGGAATGCTTTGATGATCTGCCTTGTCCCTAAACCTACATCACTTCCTGCTTCTGGGGTTCTGGGAACAATAAGTGCCATGCCCCTTATTCAGAGCATAATGTATTGTGGTTGCAGTGTAATCTACACGATTTCCCCCCTTTCCCTTTCTAATGTGTTGGACTGACATCAAGATAAGGCACATTTTGGCTCATAATCTCCATTATAGCTGCTGAAAATAACATGGCTCAAAGTTATGTGGTTATTTTTTGTGGGCTTTTTCATCGGAATAATTATTGGTGTTCACTTTTTTAGTTACCAACTACATTTTTCCATGATATCCAACAGCCAATTAACCCACAAATTCAGCTACAATCAGTTCTTTATCATACCCTGATCTTCATCAAATCAACACCAGTGTCAGGACAACAGGTGGGGAGTTCCTGATCTACTTACAGCAGGACCTCCTCCTTATGATATCTCATTTATCACAATGGGGTCTCGTCTCCAAAGACCATTCACATTTCTATCATCTTGTGCACATGATGCAAATATTCTTTTAAAAAAAGATCTCCTGATTGAATTAAATTTAGGATGGATTTTTAAAACAACAGGTTTAATGATGGTTGCTCGGATTTCATAGCAGACAAACATTTAGACTTCTATAATGTGGTCCGAGGTGCCACAGATCACCCCTGCGTCTTCATAGTGGGCACAGTTATTGGTCCCCACCCCGGCGTGTTGGCAGTCCAGCAGACCGGACTCTGTCCCGTCACACTGAACGTCATCCAGAAGAATCCGCAGATCCTTCCCTTCCCCGAACTCTGAGTTCTTGGCCGCCTTCAGAGCCCGTGTGAAGCCCAGTTGGCGGCACACCACTTCAGCGTTATTGATGGTCCACAGGTCGTCACACACGGTGCCCCACTCCCCGTTTACGTAGATCTCCACCCTCCCACGGTCGCTCTGGCCTTTTTCGTCCCCAACCAGCCTCACCATTCCATTCTGGAGCTCGGGGACACTCTCCGTTCCGGTTTGACCTTTTCTGCGTCTGCCTTTCCGCCTGGGGGGTTTGGTGGTTGTGATTGTGGTTGGCAAAGGGGGGGTAGCACCATCCGGCAGTCCCAGACGGTCGATGAGCTCTTGGAGCCAGTCGGAGGAATCTGTGGGCTCTGGCTCAGGCTTGGCTTTGTGAGGTGGTTCAAGACCAGTTAATGCTAATGGAGAATGATGAAAAAAACATGAGAGCAAATATGAATAAAATCAGATTCATGTCACAGATTGAATTAGTTTGGAATAATTCAGTAGTGTTTGGCTGTGGACTCACTTTCCTGAGGAACAAACTTGATGAGGTTACTTTTGACTCTGACAGGAAGAGGGTCATAGTGGCATTGTCTCGGTGGAGCGCGTCTGAAAAACAACCAAAAACAGCGGATAATGTTTGTATTATGAAAATAAGATCTTTGGCTTACAAACGTTTATGATATGTTTCTTCAGCAGGATAAATTATGAATGTTAAAAATGTTTCTTAATTTGAAAGCCAAAAGTCAAAAGCTAACAATAGTCTATAAACAAACTAATTCACGGCATAGTACGGCTAAGCTAACGGCGGCTAATGTTCGGCGTGATGACTTTTAGTAGTCTCATTTAGACGCTTGTTATCAACCGCTGCTTTTAAGACACATAGAAGTTTCTGACATTCACCAGTGGGGTATTGGCTGAGATTCTTGTCGTAGAACAAAAAGGTAAAAAATCTAAAACACGTTAAAAAACTTCTTCAAGACAAGGGAGCCGTAAAATGCTAACTCATTCCCAGGTTTTAGGACTCAGTCCTTCACCACTCTACTGCTTTCACATTTCAGCCAGCACTGCTTTAATTTCCCCATCTCTACCAAAAAGGAGACAGGGATATAGCCTCCTCATTCAGCAGCACTGAGACCCTGAGAAAGCACAGATCTAATCTTACATCCAGGCCCAGTTTGATCTCAGTACTGCACATCCCTCGGGCCGACAGAGAAGAATGACATGCCTGTGTTTGTAATTGTGAACAGATGTGTGTCTTACATATCCATTCCACAGAAACAGTATTAGGACTGTCCATACTCTGCACAGTGAGCAGTTATTGCACATGACACACGGTTTTACTGTAATCATGGTAATCTAGTGCGAAAGAAGAAAAGTAATGATTATGTTAAGCACTGTATAAAAACCCTGTTTCTGCCACAGCTTGGACTATTCCATACCACCCTTGTCAATGGACTGAACCTTACTAGTCACTAGTCTGTTAGATCACATTGTCTGACGGATTGGGTGGTGGTTCTTTGGAATGTGTATATTTTAATATACCATAACATATGTTTATTACACTTCATCATAGTGGGTCTAACAGAGGGCAGGAATATCTTACTGCAGCACAGTAGCAGTACATTATACACAGTGTGTGTAGTACACACCTTGAGGGGTCCACCACTTTATAGACGACTCCTGAAGGTGATGTATTGCTCGGTACTCCAGTGGACATGAAGTAAAGCTCGCCTGATGGAAAGATCAACAAACTATTACATCAAAAGCATATTCCACAGGTAAAGACCTTTCCAAATGACAGCTAGAGTTTGAGGATGTTTGTGTGTTCATGCGTTACCAGCTTCATCCTCTGCGAAGGAGATGATGTACTGGTGGTAGTTGTTGATGAGTCCAGGGAAGGCACAGGTCATGCCCTTCCCCATACAGACCTCATTGTACTTCCATTTCCCTGTGTTTCTGTCTTCCTGCAAACTCATCAAACGTCTGGGGAGGAAAACAAGAGAGTGTGTGAAACCTTTTGATGGAGCGTTGGGAGAGCTTTTAATCATGTACCAAGTAATACCAACTTCTACTTTTATGTTTACACAGATGTGGAAGAAGTACTCAGATCTTGCACTTGAGTAATAGTAGAAGTACCAGAGTGTAGGAATACTCTGTTACAAGTAAAAGTCCTGCATTCAAAATGTTCCTCAAGTAAAAGTACAAAAGTATTGGCATCAAAATATAGTTAAAGTAGCGACAGTAAAAGTAGTCATTGGTCCATTTCAGAATAATATATATGATATGTTTTATAATGATTGATCATTAAAGTGTTCTCAAACCTGGTAAAGGTGCAGCTAGTTTGAATGACTTTGTATACTGCAGGGTAGCTTGTGAATTTACTCCAGGTGGAACTAAAGTCTGATTTAACACTTGATTATATTTCACATCATTCATCCACATCTGTAGAGTAACTAAAGGTATTAAATACATGTAGTGGAGGAAAAGTACAACATTTACCTCTGAATTGTAGTGGGGTAGAAGTACAAAGTAGAACACATTTAAATACTCAAGTAAAGTACAAATCTCTCAAAATGGTACTTAAGTACAGTACTTGAGTAAATGTACTTAGTTACTTTAGACCTCTGTGTTTACGTGTATCAGTTTCCAAAGCATGAACTTGATTTTTACGATACAATGAAACATAAGATCAAGTCTGAATATGTTCTTGCATCACAGTAGCTCCAGTTGCAAAACCATCAAGGACACATATCGAAGACACGAAGGAACAGATATTTGACCTCAATCCCTGAGTACCATATGTTGAAGGCCCTTTAATGTACATTTGATCCCAAACTAAACTCCCTCTTTCATTGTAAGAGTTACTGGTGCATTAAAGAGTGCTTCAGTCCTCCCGTATTAAATGCCTTTGATCACATAAAGCTTACCCGCTCATGAAGTCTCCAAATATGTACATGCCGTTCATGTTAGGGTATTCACAGCCTCGGTAAACATAGCCCCCAGTCACCGACTTGCCCATCTTGTGAGGGTACGCATAAATAGGGAGGACATCATCTGAGAAGAAACCCACAATTAAATATTTGTTTTACTGAGTTTCTCCTTTGTCTGTGCTAGCCATTTCTCTTTACAGTGAAGCCAATTCAAATCAATGGCAATTCCTCATTTTGTATTATCAGCAGTAATACATATGAATATTTGTGTTTATTAAATCAATTGTTCAGTCTTTTGGATTGTAGATATTCAGTGTCCAAGTAGTATTGGAAATGAACAGTCATGACACTAAATTGCCATGATTACAGTAGTATAGTAAATATCAAGAAGAAGAACAATGCAGTTCTAACTATTAAAGTAGACTAGAAGTTACTAGTTTTTATGTTTTTGAAATTTGTTTTATTGTTTAACGTCTTATATATATTATGTTGCATAATATATATATATGTTGTTTGAGGAGCCTGGGACTTAAGACTTTCATTGCCCAAACTACACTGTAGCTACTGAGCATATGACAATAAAGCCTTTGAATCGATGAATCTTGAATCTAGTGGTAATCAAATCTAGAATATGGCAAATAAATCACGTCATAGGTTAAACTGATTGATGTTTTAATAAAAGAGGTTTCCTAGGGTAGACGATGGTCAATTGGTGCCTTCACAAAGTCCCTCTGACACCCGTTCGAGTTGGATAAGTTCTAATGATGAGTTCATGACCACTGTTTGAATAATAATGTTTCCAAACCATTGGACTGACCGGAGCAGGCCTACCTAGCGAGCTGTTGGCACACAGCTTCTTATCATAGCAGGAGAAGCCCTCTTTGGCTCTCCAGCCGAAATTTCGACCTTTCTCGATGATGTCTATCTCTTCAAACTTGTTCTGGCCCACATCCCCACAGAAGATACGTCCTTTGCCCTCTTTGGTCCGAGGGTCCCCCCGGTCCACGGAACACCTCCACATATTACGCACACCGTAAGCATAAACCTCTGGTCGTGCCCCCCGATCATGTACAAAGGGGTTATCTGGAGGAATTCTGTACAATGGACCTCTGTTATTGTCATCCACATCGATCCGGAGAACTTTACCCAATAGAGACGACCTAAAATAGATATGGAAAAAGTCATATTTTATCCCAAATGCAGAGAAATGCGCATTTACTCTTCATAAGTCTACAGTAGACAAACATTATAAATGATGAATCAAATCAGATCTGACATCAGGAGCAAGAGTCTTTACTGAGTTTTCTGAAATGTGGTTCATTCATTGTTACTTAAGATCATTTGAGGGTTTCAGTTTGCGGACCATTGTGTAATTCTTACTTGTTCTGGGCATTCCCATATTTCCCAAATGGATCTCCTGCCATTCCCCCATCGCCTGTGAAAACGTACAAGTAGCCATCATCTGCAAAGAGTAGTTGCCCTCCATTGTGGTTGGATGCTGGTTCGTCGATCTCTAGAATAACCCTGGAAGGAAGTGGATATCAGACAAGAATAGACCAAGTGTAGGACATGTGTTGGTCCCTACCTACCGCTCAGAGGCATGATCCACCACATTCATGTCATGGGCTGACACATGAAACTCACTGATCCTGATCCTCTCATCAAAACCCACCTCCACTGAGTAGTACACATAAAGCTTCCTATTGTACTTGTGCTTGGGGTGGAAGGTAAGACCCAGAAAGCCCCTCTCGTCTCCTTCCCATGAGGACGTTAACACTGCCTTGGTAATGTTCAAAAATGGTTTCTCCAGTTTGGATCGGTCATGAAGGTAGGTCCACACCAAGCCCACCTGCTCCGCCACGAAGAACCGGTGTGTGCCATCGTTGGCGTGCACCATCGCTAGCGGGTTCCTCAGCCCATTTGCGACTTCCTCCAGGCACAGCTGCAGACACCCGTCCACGTCTGACTGGACCCGGCCCAGGTTCAGGGTGAGCTTCTGGTCGCTGAGGAGGTGAGGGTAGCAGTAGTCTGCGTCGTCCAGCTCCAGGTACCGGCAGAGACGGGTCTGGTCTTCTTTGACTTTAGCTATGTGTGGGTCGTCAGACAGGAGAGGGATGGTGGACCTGCACTTATTCCAAAATTGCGAGCAGTAGTCAGGACAGAGGCCAGGGATGGTCCTTATCGGGGTGGTGGGGTCTTCAGCATCAAATAGATGAGCTGCAAATGGAGAGCATTCCTGCGCAGAAAGGAAGAGAGATGAGGGATGAAGAAGAGACAATGAAGAGGCAGACTAAAGCACAACATCTTATCTAGAGTTAAACCTGTCACACCTTATGTAGTCCTTAAACCTGCAATAGCAAGGTTGCAAAATAAACTGACTCAATATTTTATCTCGACACATTTTAAGTTGAAGTTGTGAACTTGGTAGAACACAGTTACCTAGTTTCACATCCAGCACATTTCACTTGAAGTCATGTTTCTGCCACCTGGTGAGTGTAAGGCCCAATTCCAATCCGGGCCCTACACCCTCCCCACCTTCACTTGTCTGCACATTTGCATGGAGGGTCTGCCCTCATTAAGTGTAGTTAAAAGCCAAGTACCAGGACGTGGAAGTGGGTTACCAAACTCTCAAACAACTCATTTAGCTGAGAGTGAGACTCATCCGGTCACAGAGCGGCAGGGTGTAGAGGTCTGCTGTGTTTTGTTCTTCATTACCTCCTCATACACACTCTGCTCACCAGCTTGTCTCTTTCTTTGTCTTTGCTGTTTGCTGCTAGGCAGGTAGTTAACAGTGGGTTAAGGTTAGGGCTGCTGAAACATGGTTGATGATAGTAGTGAGAGCAAACTAGAACATTAAAGACATGGGCATTAAAAGAAAACATCAGCAGAGTGTTAGTTTTACCTGGCATTATAATATTGAGTTCAACACCAAGATTCAACACCGTTCACATTGACAAGACTTTTGATCAATTGTTAGAATAAAACATCTTCGTAGGCAAATAAAAGGATTCGTTTTTTGGCCAGTAAACATTTGCATTTGACTGAAGAAGTAGAGGCACGTGTACATGTATCTTTGTGAACCCTCGGATTGCTCCTGTAGGCTGAGCCCTTGGTGAGAATGTAAATGAGCATTAGATCACAGAATGAACAGTTTGGCACTCAGTGTTTGCATGTGTGTGAATGGGTTCTTGAGTTGATAGAAGCCATAGGAAACGTACAATTATATAAAATTATATAAAATAATATATGATAGATAACTGTCAACTAACTTATGGCACACTGTATGAGCTGGTGACAGGAAGTGCACGCTTATGCATGCATGTATGTCATGTAGAAGTTGCAGAAAGCAATGGTGTTTGTCAGACTCAAAGAGACAGTTTTGGTTTTTTTAGATGGGAAAAATAATAGTTAATTATTATTATTATTAAGCCTCCTAATTTAAAAGGATACATCATGTAATTGGTGGTTTCATGCCTGCAGATCACTGTAGTAAATAAGGCATATTTCTGAAAAATGCAAATTCTAAAGTTGGCTACAGAGGGTGGAGCCCATGGGGCTGACTGTTGTGAGATTAGGAGATGCCTGGAATACTAATTGTATATATATGATATCATATGATAAGATAAGTGGTACACCTGCCTCATAATAAGTTGCTCAATCAGCGGTTTCAGAGCGGCCAAGCCTTTCCTCTCGACATCTCCTCTGTGTGACTGCTGATCATCGGGGAACTTCAAATAGAGGAAGCCTATGTTCTACATTTATTGTAAGATTAAACTGTTTCATAAATCCTACTTTAGTGTTATGGCCAGTGGCGACTGGTCATTAGGGGCAGGTGGGGCACAGCCCCACCTAGTGTCAGCAGAAAGTATTACACATGATTACAAAAAATGCAAAGAGATGCAAAAAAAGAAATAAAAAAATATATAAAATATATTTTAAGGTCATGTTTAATCATCTGATTCGTCTGTACATTGCTGTTTTAGTCTGTGTTCTTCTAATTAGTGTCTACAGTGCCGTTTTGAGCCATGTGGGACAAAACCTGATCATGCCCCTCCCTCTCACTGTCAAAGTGAACGGTGACTGTAAAAACTACACTGCGCATGCTCAGAGTATTTTCAATGTAATGTGTGTGGCAAAAAAAAAAAGACCAAAGGGGCACAGAGCTGCCATCCCCACCATACGTCATCTCACATCATTCAGAGCTGATTGGCTGTAAGTACGTGTGCCGCGAAAAGTGTGGTGCTTGAAGAGGAGACGAGAGAGCTGCAGTGACGCGTCCTAAAACCAGGAAGTAAGCTGTAAAAAAGCAATGAGGTTTCTCCATAGAATTTTAGAAAATAGCTGTAAATAAGATCTGTGGGAAACGTACCTGTTAGATAAATGCACGTTTTGTTCAGCCGGATAATATCCACATGTCTACCCTACTTTTATAATTTTTTTATCATAAATCTATCGATTAGATTTATGATAGACTTTTGAAACTACAAGAAGATAAGGAGGACTTTTACAAAAAAGTTATAGAAATTTTTGTCCAGAAGGATAGGCAAATGGACTTCATCTTCAAGTCAAGGTAAGACCGCAATTTTTTGAAAATGGGATCTTACTAAGAGAGAACAATTCAATATTTAAATGGTAAAATTACATTTTTTGGGTATCCTTTTGTTGAACTGTCCGTTTAAAATTAATCGAAGCATCAGACAAAAAAAGCTTTTGAAAATAATATTATATTTTGGTTTAGGTCAAAATATAATATTTGTAAACCTGAAGAGTCAATGCCAGTGCCTCAGCAGCCATGAACCTCACTGCACGTCACTGCAGAAGCTTATATATAGACTAGGGCTGTCAGTCGATTAAAATATTTAATCGCGATTAATCGCATGATTGTCCATAGTTAATCGCGATTAATCGCAAATTAATCGCACATTTTTTATCTGTTCTAAATGTACCTTAGAGGGATATCTTTCAAGTTTTTAATACTCTTATCAACATATGAGTGGACAAATATGCTTTATATGTTTGTTTATTATCATATGAACAATGACAAATATTCTCATGAATATTAAACACAACAACCTCTGAACATTACAAATATTCGCCTCAATTCAACCTGGAACCTCTCTCATACAATAATACTGTGTGTGTGTGTGTGTGTGTGTGTGTGTGTGTGTGTGTGTGTGTGTGTGTGTGTGTGTGTGTGTGTGTGTGTGTGTGTGTGTGTGTGTGTGTGTGTGTGTGTGTGGAGACACTGTGATGAATCGTTGGAGCTATGTGCAGCTCAAGGCATATATGCTCGAATGGGAGCTGCCTGGACGCTGCAATCATGTTGCGCGTACGATCCGTGCTGAGTGTGCTGACTTTTCGTACAATGTCCCACTGTCTGGCTACCTGCATAAAGTCAAGTGCTCGGCGCAGTTGTCGGCGAAATGTCATTGAAACAGCTCCTTAAATCCGTTAGCGCAGCTAGCTAGCACCAGATGCTAACAACAACAACACGTAAGGTGTGCCTCGCTCGCGCGAGTCGCGCCACACATACACACTCCCTCCCAGTCCTCCCGATGGCCAGTCCGGGCCTGCCGGTGAGCGTGGAAGTGTGGTCTGCCACAAGCGGGCGGCAGGAGCGAGGCTGTCAGCATCAGCTTGTCGATGGTATTTTACACTCGATGCGCTCTGAAACTACGGCGGCGGAGGACAAAAAATACACATGCGTTAATCGCGTTCAAATAATTAGTGGCGTTAATTTTTTTTTGCGTTAACGCGTTATTAACGCGTTAACTTGACAGCCCTAATATAGACATCTAAGTTTTTTGTGCCCCACCACTTTTGTACATATAAAAACGCCACTGGTTATGGCAGCTTTAAGATTCGGTTTGGGATGCAGGCGGATGAAAGAGACTTTGGTCCCGAAAGTGGTGACCCATTTTCTCTACTCCCCTCCCCCTTTTGAAGGAATAAACTAATCGTTACATTACACTTTAGAAAATCTTATAGTCCCTACAATTCATTGCTCTAACACCTTTCAAGAAGCTGGCACTTGACAAAAGCAATCAAACATTACGTAAATGATTATGGACTTGAAAAAGTGGAAGAACTTCGTCCAAGAATAATTGGAACCCTTTTTCTGACCAGCAATCCATGAACCAGAAACTTAAAGACACTAACTTCCAATATACCATATAACAGGGTTATAGTTTGCATGTCAACTGCAACATAAAAAAGAGCAATACATTATTTCATACATCATTATTTCCAGTGGTAAAAGCATCCAGGATTCACAGGAAACACATTAAAATATGCTAAAAATAATAACATATTTGATGTTCTGTGGATCCTGGATGGTTTTACCACTACTACCAGCAAGTTCATTGGTATAGTTTTAATAAGTTCTGTTTCATAAAGCATTTATTAGTCAGTGGTGGAATGTACAGAGGTTCATTTACTCAAGTACATACTTAAGTACACTTTTGAGGTACTTGTACTGAGTATGTTCATGTTATGCTACTCCACTACATTTTTTGTAAACACATTCAGTTACTAGCTACTTTGCAGACAGAATATAAATCAACCAATATATCATTATGTATTATTAATGGCAGTGTCGAAAGTAACTAAGTGGATTTAATAAAGTACAATTTTGAGAGACTAGTACTTTAATGAAGTATTTCAACGTCAGCTAATTTGTACTTCTACTCCACTACAATTCAGAGGTAAATGGTGTACTTTTACTCCACTACATGTATTTAATACCTTTAGTTACTTTACAGATGTGGATGATTGATGTGAAATATAATCAAGTGTTAAATCAGACTTGAGTTCCACCTGGAGTAAATTCACAAGCTACCCTGCAGTATACAAAGTCATTCAAACTAGCTGCACCTTTACCAGCTTTGAGAACACTTTCATGATCAATCATTATAAAACATATCATATATATTATTCTGAAATGGACCAATCTGCACAATCACTACTTTTACTGTCTGTACTTTAAGTATAGTTTGATGCTAATTCAAGTAGTTTTAATAATTCATGATTCATAAAGCCTATCCCAGTGACAGCTCTGAGGGTCAGTGTGTTGTGTGTGTTGCTGTGTGTGTTGCTATGTGTCTTGCTGTGTGTGTTGCTGTGTGTGTTTTTGTGTGTGTTGCTGTGTGTGTTGCTCTTGGCTCGTACTACAGGCGGTGATGGAGAGGGTCTGGACGGAGACCTTTGCCCTACCTGGCAGATCATCTCCAGCACGAACCCAGCGCAGTTGGCATATCCATAATAATCAAAGTTATCCATGATCCGGTAGTACTTGGCCCTCAGCTGCTGGTCCTTCTCATAGTCGCAACAGCCGAACTCCTTGTACATGACGCAGAACTGGAGCTCGCGCAGCGGTCTGAAGGGGGGCTTGAAGTCCAGACACTGGGGGTGAGGGGCTGCAGGTGCGACACACAACACCAGGACACACACCGTGAGGACCCACAGGACCCCCAGCCCGCCCGGGACCCGGACACACTGCCTCATCACGGCTTGCGGTTAGGATTCTGCAAGATGAAGCGACTTCCGGTGTGCACTTTGCCCGTTATGTGGTCCTCTGACGTGGGGAACGTGACCCGCAGTGACTCGCGCTGTCCCGGGACAAATGGGCAGAGAGGGAGTCGAATAATACCAACACGAATACCAGCAAGAGTTAATATCGCCAATATTAATTTAGAGTAATAGTTACACAATCAAAATCATCTCAAAGTAAAATGTAATAAAACCAAAACCGTCTTTGAGACATAGTTAATAACACAAGTAAATGATGGTAATGAAATCAACAATAGTTATAGTTAATAACAGCAAGATTATCCCAAAAATAATAAATAATAACACCAAAATCAGCATAGACTAGAGTAATAGTAAATTATTGTAATAACATCGACAAGAGTTATAGTTTTTGATGCTAAATCAAAGCACGACATTGCTGTTTTTGTAGATGTTTGTCTTGGAGTGATATCTGTTGCAACATGTTGATGTTGAATAATCATGCAGTTACTCCTGAGCCCAGCAGATGGCGACATTAGCCCTCATTTGACTGTCTCCAGAACAGTCTCTATAATAATAACAATATATGTTTTTGTCTTGAACACTGCAGCAGGTATTGGTCAGTCATGGAAGAAGGAGAGATTCATGTATTTAAGAAGTCAATTGATGTATTAGTCTACAGAAGTGTCCAAGCAAAGTAGGCCCTCGTCCACCCTCTATTTGATAAGGCGCACATATTTCAGTGAATGCACGCCACTCAGGATAAATAAATACATGAATTTAAAAGAAAGAAAGAGAGGAAAAAAAGAGAGAAAATAGTAAGAAATGTCTGCTGTCCTATTTCACAGACTTGTGTTTGAAATAAGCCTATTTAAAGGGGACCTATCATGCAAAATGCACTTTTGTACGTCTTTTATACATGAATATGTGTCCCCGGTGTTCCAGAGAACTCACCAAGTGTCAGAAAACACAACCCTCTCTATTTTTCTCCATACCCAAATCTCTAAAAAAGGGGCTGCAACGGATCTGATACAGACTGATCCAGATTTGAACACTTCTATGTCGTCACAGAAGTGGCGCTACGGCTATTGGGCCAACTCTCCACCTATCAGGGGAATGTGGGGTTGGGCCACGGCCGGCCATTGCCGCTCGAAAGCGCTGGAGACGCTGTAGTACACATGCCAGGCCTGTAAGTGGCGCTGTAGTCTGCCACAAAAGCAGCGAAGAAGACTTCCCGCCCATAGAAGGGTATATGGTTACCCTTCTGTTTATTCTCCGCTGTGGCTTTTTTTCTCCCTCCCCGAGGCAAGCGTTTGCTCCCGCTGCTTTAATTCAATGCAATCCCTCCCCGTCGAGGCAAGCACTGTAATTCTCTCCTGTTAGTCCACCAGCAGATGACAAACACCCACCTCTCCGCCTCTTCCAAGGAACGAGGGGACCGTGCGGCAGAGTTTCAGTTTCAGTTTCTTTCGCCGGTCAAGATGTCCGTTAAAGTTTAAATCTTCCTGACAAAATTAGAAAAGTGCCGGTCAAAGGTCTTCTTTGTTATTTATTGAGCTTTAAAACAAATGAATAACGACTCTATAGGCCTATAATAATATAATAAAACACGGAGGACGGAGATCTATTTTTCTCCCCCTCTTGACTTGATCAGAGCACGGCTTCCCTCTCCTGCAGGGGGGCGTGGTCAGCTGCAGCTCACAGAATCAGCCCCGTAGACAGCAAACAGCACATAGAGCGAAATGAGGCATGGCTAAAATGCATGATCTGTTTGGTATTTTGAAAACAGAAACGTATAAATATACCTTATATAGGTATGGCCCTACAATATATCATTTAAATATAGCATGGTAGGTCCACTTTAAGAAAAGGTTCTCATGTTATGGTGCGCCCATATTTATTCATAAATAACCCAATACAAATCTGTGCAATAACATAACCATAATACCAGTTGCACTTGAACAACAATCAAACATTGACATTATAATATCAATAAAAACATTTGCAACAACATAACCATAATGAAATGTGCACTATAACAACAATAACCCATTTGCATTTAAATAACCATAGCATAATTTGCACCAAAAAAAGTTATCATTAATATAACAACAATTATATTTGCATTAATCTAACAATAAAACATTTGCATGAAAATCACAATAAATTGATGCACAACATACACATAAAACTACATTTGCATTATTAAACAATCAAATACATTTTTAATATAACAATAATACAATGTGCATGAAGGACTATTACAATAAGACATCTGCATACAAATTCAAACATAACAATACAACAAAATGCATACGTATAACAATATAACATTAACATGAATATAGCTATACTTTTGCACTAATATAACAATAAGACATTTCAATTATTATATACAAATAATAACATCTACATGAATGTAACAGTAAAGACATTTGCTTCAACTATATGGCTGACTGATCACAGAGCAGTTTGCACCACCATGAAGTGTACATGTTTAAAAAAGATAAAGAGCTGCAGTTGATCAATGAAGCAGGGGGGGGGGGGGGGGCTGCCTATAGAGGACACTGTGTAGGCCACCTACCTGTGTCTCCCCCCCCCACCTCTCCTCCTCCTCCTCCTCCCCGGCTCCAGTCCCCGGCTGCAGCCAGCACTCATCGCGTCTCAGAGGTTAACTTCCAGTAAGACACTGAGACAAATGGCGGGGAGCTGTGTCTGTGGCCCGGTGTGTCAACTGTCATGGATCCGGTCTAACCCAACTTAGCCCGCTGGTAGGACTCTGTGATTATCAGCCAGCATTAGAAGCTGCGGGGATGGACGCGGCTGATGTGAGCCAGCTGCCCGACGAGGAGCTGCTGATGCTGGGGAAGGATGACCTGGTCCGGAGGCTGAGGCGCTTCGAGAGCCTCAACATGGACCTGATCGTGGAGCACGGAAACATGATGAAGGAGGTGAACCGGAGCCTGCAGGTGCACCTTCACGAGATCCGGAGTCTGAAGGAGGCCAACCAGAAACTGCAGGGAGAGAACCAGGAGCTCCGGGAGCTCTGCTGCTTCCTGGACGATGATCGGCAGAAGGGCAGGAAGGTGTCCCGGGAGTGGCAGCGCTTCGGCCGCTACACCGCCAGCGTCCTGTGGAGGGATGTCGGGCTGTACCAGCAGAAGCTGCGGGAGCTGGAGGGCAGTCAGGAGGCGCTGAGGAGTCGGACAGAGAACACGGAGCTGAAGGAGATCCTCCTCATGCTGGATGAGGACAGGAGCGGACCCGGCTCGCGGAGCTCCATAGACAGCCAGTCCAGCCTCAGCAGCCTCACCTACCCGGCGCAGCTGCGGGACGCCGGGGACGGGAGCAGTTCATCCAGCACCGGAAGCGCCGGGAGTCCGGACCACTCTCACTCAGGGCCTGAGGGGAAGATGGGCTCCATGAGGCGGGCTGCGGACCTCCACAGAGGAGCCGGGCTCAGTGGTGAGAGATACTTAAGTATATTTACCCAAGTAGGCTACTGTACTGTACACTTTTTAGGTAGACTACTTACTTCACTTGAGTATCTCCATGAAATGCTACTTTACTTCTACTCCACTACTCTCAAAAGGGAAATAATGTAATTTTACTTAACTACATTTATTGAACACATTTAGCTACTTTTAACAAAATGCATCCCTAGAAATGTAATTAGTGGACTAACTCAGTCACAAGAGTCAAATTATTTAAATATTTTACGAAAAGTAAAACTTTACTTTTGCCACTTTAGGTAGCCTACATTTTGATGCCAATACTTTTGTTCTTTCAATTTAATGTCCCCTATTATAGTCTTTGTCAACAATATATTGTAGGTCTCAGTTATATACAGAACATGTCTCTGAAGTGTTTGAATGAAACACCAAACAGATCATTGCAGCATCCCATAATCCCCTCTGTTTCAGACCTGTTCCAAAAGTGCTGATTCTGTGTCTGTAGCTTTAAATGAGCTGCTGCTGCTGCTGGCCACGCCCCTCTGCGAGATGAATGGTTTAAAAAAACACAAAGGTGCTCTAGGTGGAGATTCAGGTGATAAGGTGTGTGTGTGTGGGGGGGGGGGGGTACCTTGGTTGCTGATTGGCCAATGGTTACACAAGCCAAAAAAAATCGTTATGACATCACAAAGTGGCCAAAATCTGATCAGCTCATTTTCAGACAGGTTTTTATATAAATGGATCAAGACAAAAAGAGAGGGGGTCTTTTTTCCTGACACTTTCTTAACACAGATGTCTTTAATGTCTAAAAGACATGAAAAGTGGATTTTGTATAATAGGTGCATTTCCAATGCAGGACTTTTACTTGTAATTATTTTGTAACGCTGCTTTTACTACTTATTGCACCATCATTGTAAGTGATAGTGAAAATACCAGTTCAGGTAATCTGCGTTCTTAAAAGTTTATTTCAAAATGTGTGATAATGAATTCTAAATTAACTCAAATTAGAGTGTAAAAACAAATAAATACAAAATAAAGACACTTAAAGATATACAATGTTTCTGGTCTTGCAGTACAGATATCGAAGTGTTCTTCACAGATTATTTTTTCATTAAAATTATCACAAAGCAACTCTCAACAGACCCCTAAGCACGATGATTAGTAACAACTTATCATTCATATCACATCATATTTTCAGTTTTTAAGCAGTACATTGACAAGGTTACTTTGCTAAATAAATTGGATTAACAATATGAAACACTTGCACATCAATATAGTCAATAGGCTCTAGGCGCTTGTCAGCAGCCATAAATCAAAACCGTCTTTAAAGGTCCCATGTCATGGCCATTTCTACTGATCATAATTCCATTGTTGAGGTCTACTAGAATAGATTTATATTGTGCAATTTTCCAAACTCACATTGGTTTCTCATACAGCATCTCTGTATAGTATGTGTATTCACTCTCTGTCCTAAACAGCTTGTTGGAGCTCCTGCCCCCCCCCCCCTCTAACTGTGATATATTTTGATGCCAATACTTTTGTACTTTTACTCAAGTTAGATTTTGAATGCAGGACTCAATACAATTTAATATTGCTACTTTTACTTAAAGGGGACCTATCATGCAAAATGCACTTTTTGATGTCTTTTATACATGAATATGTGTCCCCGGTGTGTCAGGGAACTCACAAAGTGTCAGAAAACAAAACCCTCTCTCTTTTCCTCCGTACCCACATCTCTAAAAAATAAAATAAAAGGGGGTGCTAACAAGCAGATCCAGAATCTTCGCTCCTATAACGTCATTGGCGACATCCGGCCGACATGACACGTCCCAGGCACACGTGACACGTCCCAACCTATCGTCTCCGGCACACGTGATACGTCCCAACCTATCGTCTCTGTATACAGTCGCAGCTGTGTGTGTGTATTCAGCAGGATGCTTGCAGGAGGCACTTCAGTAAAGTTGTTATATATATAATACATATAATGGCACTGTTCTAGCGGTAAACACTTAAGGCCCCAGCTCCACGGGAACCCATACGGCAAAACGCATCGGAGTAACGCAAATGCAACCGCAAAAAACCTTCCGCCCACACGCAATATACACCGGATTGTGTCAAGCTCCACGAGACGGCTCCGTTTACATCCAACCGCTGGAAAAGCTGCAGTACATATGCCGAACCTGTACGTGGCGCTGTAACTTCCTCCACAAAAGCAGCAACTTCCTCCACAAAAGCAGCGAAGAAGAATGGTTGTCATGGCTGCACTTCTGTTTATTCTCCGCGGTGGGGGCGGAGGGAACCGCGCAGAGTTTTTCGCCAGTCAATGTGTGTTAAAGTTTAAATCTTCATGCTTCCTCATGCAGCAGCTGATCCAGTAAGTAAACCCGACAGTAAAAATAAACATATTTATAACTAGTTTAGGTAGTTTGAGAGGTAATTAAAATAGCTAAGGGTGGTGATCTGACTTGAAGTGTGTGTTTTGCTCCCGCTGCTTCACAGCCGGAGGAGATGCGTGTCTCCGTCCTGTCAGATTAGACTTCACTCGCGTTTATGTTCATATCGAGATAAAGATAAATAATCTGAATTCAGTGTGCAGTGTACTTTTGCGGGGGTGAGCAGCAGAGGTGGGGAGAGGCGGGGAGAGGCGGGGCTATGAAACGCATGACCGTATAGGCGACCCCACGGCCCCGTTGGACCCCCCAGAGCGCTCCGTTCCCAGATCTATCCACCTTTGGACCCGTTGTCATTTGCGGGGTCTGTTTCTACGTTTCTGTTATGGCGTCGTCAAGCTTAAAGGGCTATACGCATGAGAAATATGCGGATTCAACCCGTTTTCGTCCTCGTGGAGCCTACGCCTAAGAAAGAACATGTCAAGCTATGTGCTGTATCAGAAACAATGTGTGGCGTGTTTTGGGAGTAATATGCTATGTGTTTACATTAGCAAGCATGCTAACACTCAGAGCTAACCATGGAGCTAACGCTGTAGGCTACTGGAGAGAATATGTGTAACGTAATGTCCTTGTGGTAAACCCTGCGAGAGAGAAAGGTTTGAGCTCCATACCGTTTCAGAAATAAAGCTTGAAGTGGTTGGGAGCATAATATGGCATTTAATCACCGCAGCGTTTAGCTGAGCTTCTCTCGGTAGAAAACTCTCTTAGCAGGGGAAAGCTGCGTGACGCTACAAAGGGGCGTGGCTAGCAGCAGCCGTTCCATTTATAGCAGAATCAGCCAGTTTGGAACAGGGCTGGAATAGAGGGGTATGAGCAGTATGAGGCATGGCTACAATGGGTGATCTGTTTGGTATTTTAAGCAAAAAACTTCACAGATGTGTTTTGTATAGGTATGGCCCTACACTATATTTTTTTCAAATATAGCATAATAGGTCCACTTTAAGTTTAAAATCTGAGTACTTCTTCAACCTCTGATTAATTCCTCATCCAGCCATAATTGATTCTTTGTCCCTCTCAGTCCTTCCCTCTACACATTTAACAGAGGGTCGGGGGGGGGGGGGGGGGGGGGGGGGTTGGGCGTGCTGACCGACTGTAATTCAAGAAGTCCTCTGTCATTTGCTTTTAGTCGCTCAGCGTTGTCTCAGTGTGTGTGTACCTGTGTGTGTGTGTTTTGCCCTGAGGTCAGCACTGTCTGTTTCAGTGACTTTGAATGCATCACAGAGGTCACTACCTTACGGCTAGGTGTACTGAACAAGCTTACACTAACATTTAAGTTTAATTTATCGTCATAATGCAACACAGGGTGTCACAATGAAATGCAACTGTAGCTAAGTACAGTACATCATCCTACACACAAAAAGCTATTTTCAAAGTCATAATCCACACTCAAGACAGGTGGTGCTGCCAAAGCAGGACAAACAGCTGGTATAAAATCACCGCCTGTGTAAATGTGCAAATTCACAGGATTATAAAATCACTGCTCATCTACAGTAACTATGACAACTTTAGTTTTTTCTATTAAATTAATGTTTTTCTTTAGATGTATTCTTAGGAAATACAATAAAACTAAATTTGTTCATCTAATTTTGGAAATTCTGATGTGTATGACAATTGTTGTCTTATTTCTACAGCTGCAGACCTGATAATGGAATGTGAGCAATACATTAATAAATATAAAAGCATAATCGTATGCAGTTAAACAGGCTTACTTTCATATCTTTAAAGGTCCCATGTCATGCTTTTCCGGTTATTACCTGTCCCCTTGTGTGTATCCCTAAACTTAATGACAGTGCTGAACATATCACATGAAAAAACAAAACTTTAATACAATTATTTTTTAAACTTGAAAAAATCTTTGGATATATGGTAGAATAGACTCAAGAGCCTTTCAAATTTGATTTTACTTGAAGTGCAGGACTTAATCAAATGATTGTAATGACATCAAGTTTGTCCGTAACATAGTTGACAAACTGAGTAGTGAAAACATCCTTTCCCTTAAAATAAAATAAAATAAAAAAATGTTTAAGCTTTGCAACTAGTGGATATGTTACACTGAGGAATATACTAACTTGAACCACTGATTGTTCTATTGAGAAAGAACACTTTCTTTGTACTGTTTTGTTGATGTGAAATGCACCCTAAATTATAGAATCAGTCTCCTGGTCTCTTCAGTCTACTCTCTTTTCCTTTTCCTCTTTCTACTCATCCTGATCACTTGATAGGCCTATGTCTTTTTGTTGTTGTTGAATCACTCCAGCTACTCTGGCCTGCAAGAGTCTACTTGTGAAAAGCACTGGTACAAATGCTTGTATAACTTTACACGTTAGGGCCATGTAGCTAATAAGTAGCATAGCATATAATAAATATAACATCAGAAAGTATTTATCAAACGCACACAGGCAGCTGTGTTTAGACCCAGTTTGACGGTAAAGGATGTATCCTGGTTTCATTGATCTGGCCTCATTGCTGTGATGTGTAATTTACGTGGATTTAATAGTAGGCCTACCGCATAGTTTAGCAAATAAAGTGATCAATCTCCCAGCTAGCGCTGTCTGCGTAGTATTTTGTAACGTAACGTCCCAAACAGCGACCATCTGTTAAACGCTATATCGATTCAAACGGCAGCGTTTTATTAATACTTTGTTTCAAGCTCTCGTCTTTAGTAAAAAACAAAACTAGTGGAAGGGGACATGCTCCCAGGGGAAGCTGATCCATCTTCAGGTGCTGGGACAGCTCGCTCCCTCTCTGCAGCGGTGTGAGCCGCGGTCTGTGTGAGCCGCGGTCTGTGTGAACGCCGCTCCGCAGTTTAATGCAGGGCCGTAGCTGCGTTTTTAACGGGCCTAAGATGATATTTAAAATGATTCACTTTTAATTAATGAACTGCTTGTTTCGTTGCTTGAGAAGCTTGTGGACATAGTGTAGGTTTGTTTCTACAAGTACAGTTTTAGGGACACAAAAGTTAGGGGGGCAGCTGGGGGGGCAAGGCTCTACAGTGGGGGGGCAGCTGCCGTAGATCCGCCCCTGAAACTGAAGCAATATAATAATGAGCCCCATGAACTGAGTTTTAAACATCAGCATATCCGGTCATAGTCCGGTAATTACCTGCTAACGGAAACTCTGCTACACAATTCTTATTGTTATTATTGAAACATGACCGGTAAGTTTCAAATTTGTCCGGTAAAATTAATTCTTTCCGGACATTTGACCGGCAAGAAAAAATCCTAGCGGAAACCCTGGGGTGTGTGTGTGTGTGCTCGGGCTGGTTTCGGGCTGGGTTTCGCTGTGTCTCGCTATCTCACAGACGGCCACTGGGCTCACAGGGAGGGGGGGGGCTGGAGCTCCAACAAGCCGTTTAGGACAGAGAGTGAATACACATACTATACAGCATGGGTCGGCAACAGGCGGCCCGCGGGCCATTGTTGGCCCGCCAGCAATAATATTTGGCCCGTAATTTTGAGAATAAAAAATAAAAAAATATTTTGAGATTCTTTTTTTTTTACAACATCGGACCGACAGTCGCACATATAGGCTATAATGTCCGAATAGAGAATCTACCTACACCTGAAGAATGCTTATTGTACTTTTATCTATGTTGAGAATGAATGACATACAGCACAGGCACAATCAGGCAGCGGGGTGCACTGACGTCAATTAAAGTACTTATTTAAAGGACACCTATCATGCTATATTTAAATGATATATTGTAGGGCCATACCTATATAAGGTATATTTATACGTTTCTGTTTTCAAAATACCAAACAGATCATGCATTTTAGCCATGCCTCATTTCACTCTATTTGCTGTTCTCCAGCTCTGTTTTTGCAAGGGGCTGATTCTGTGAGCTGCAGCTGACCACGCCCCCCTGCAGGAGAGGGGAGCGTGCTCTGATCAAGTCAGAAGAGGGGGAGAAAAAGAGATCTCCGTCCTCCGTGTTTTATTCTTATATTATTATATAGAGTTGTTATTCATTTGTTTTAAAGCTCAATAAATAACAAAGAAGACCTTTGACCGGCACTTTTCTAATTTTGTCCGGAAGATTTAAACTTTAACGGACATCTTGACCGGCGAAAGAAAACCTAACTGAAACTCTGCCGCACGGTCCCCTCGTTCCTTGGAAGAGGCGGAGAGGTGGGTGTTTGTCATCTGTTGGTGGACTAACCGGAGAGAATTACAGTGCTTGCCTCGGGGAGGGAGAACAAAAGCCACAGCGGAGAATAAACAGAAGGGTAACCATGGCAACCATGCGCGGGAAGTCTTCTTCGCTGCTTTTGTGGCAGACTACAGCGCCACTTACAGGCCTGGCATATGTACTACAGCGTCTCCAGCGCTTTCGAGCGGCAATGGCCGGCCGTGGCCCAACCCCACATTCCCCTGATTGGTGGAGTTGGCCCAATAGCCGTAGCGCCACCGTCCTGACGTCAGGACAGTGTTCAAATCTGGATCAGTTTTTATCAGATCCGTTGCAGTCCCTTTTTTAGAGATTTGGGTATGGAGGAAAATAGAGAGGGTTGTGTTTTCTGACACTTGGTGAGTTCCCTGGAACACCGGGGACACATATTCATGTAGAAAAGACGTACAAAAGTGCATTTTGCATGATAGGTCCCCTTTAACTATTAAATACATTGAGTTTGAGTAAAATACTTGGTTACTGATTAATTTAGGTTATAATATATTAAATAAATTGCAAAGCAAAACATGCTGTAATTTATTTATTTTGTATTTTTTTAAAGGTTTTCAACCTGAAAGAATCCTAATGTGTTCTTGAAAAGTTGAAATAAAGAAAAGGAAAAAGGATTCCAGTTGTCCATGTGTCCTCTGTTGCCCCTCAAGCCTCTCAAATGTGGGCAAACACTCAAATAAATGCCAAAAACCCAGAGAACTTGACAATACTTATCAGAATAAAAGTATGTTAAATAACACTGCTACCTAGTTAATAACTCACTCAGTGGAGGCTCGTCCATTGAAGAAAGGGAGGACCATCCTCCCTAAAATTTCAGAAAAAAATAAACTTTGAAGAGAACAATAAATACACCTCAATTTAAAAGATAAGTCTGTTAAAATACAGATAATAGCCCTGACTTTTAACATGAGACTGAAATGGGGCTAGAGACGACGAGCCTCCCTTTGGGCGGGTCTATCCAGAGGCTCTGGATTGGGCGCCTATATCATCAGTGAACCAATCAGCGGATCTGACTGCGCATCAGAGTGTTGATGGGGAGGGTTATCAGCGATATCAGAGTTTTTTCTGAACCGGGGAACAGGGGCGCTGCGCCCTCTTACCAAAATCAATTCCTTGAATTAGGCTTCGATTATGTTCTGGCCTGCCATCTTGTGGCTCAGCAAAAAATTGGCCCACGGCCAAACTTACTTGCCTACCCCTGCTATACAGAGATGCTGTATGAGAAACCAATGTGAGTTTGGAAAATTGCACAATATATCTATTCTAGTAGACCTCAACAATGGAATTATGATCAGTAGAAATGGCCATGACATGGGACCTTTAAAGACGGTTTTGATTTATGGCTGCTGACAAGCGCCTAGAGCCTATTGACTATATTGATGTGCAAGTGTTTCATATTGTTAATCCAATATATTTAGCAAAGTAACCTTGTCAATGTACTGCTTAAAAACTGAACATATGATGTGATATGAATGATAAGTTTGACACTAAGATGTGTACACTAATTTCACAGATTCTCTGTGATATTATGCTCCAGGAATATATATATATATATTTTTATAAGACTACCCTTGTCATATATGTATCATATATTTTAAATATGTATTTCCACCAGCAGAGGGCGACGTAACCCCACCTCACTGCCACAATAAAATATCTACCAGTGATTCATTGCATGAGTAACATATTAAAACCACAGACTGTATATTAAGACCCAGGATTCCATGTTTTTTATGGCTAAAAAACCACAACAAATGGATGAATAATACTCTACATGTGCCTCATGTTCCCAGTATACCATCAGATCACATTATGATGTATCTGGTTTCTTTAGAGAGAGAAATCTGAGCCATAATTCAAGTTAAAGTCTTTATTTGCGCAGTGGCTCACCGAAGATGCATCTGTGAAATTCACTTGAGCTGCAGCAAAAAAAACGTAAAGATATTTGTAACGCAACCCAAAAATTAAACTATTTTACATGAATTGAGCAATCTACAGCCACATTACATGTAACAGTTTATATTTCGGTATTTGTTAAATATAAACCTTCAAAATGTATTAATGATACGCAAAACATTATACATTACATTTAAAAATACACACACCCTGACATTAATCTATCGCTGTCACACTCTCTCACACACACACACACACACACACACACACACACACACACACACACACACACACACACACACACACACACACACACACACACACACACTCAGTTTGAATTACATATATTATCATGTATCTATGTGTGATTGCTAATATAACTGTTGTGTTGTAAGTGCGAGTCTTACATGAATTATCTTATTATATATATAACTTTCATGATGATAACTGTACATAAATAAAGAGACGGGGGGAGGGGGTTCGGGGTTAAAAAGACTTGTCTAATATTACATTCACATGCTTATTTTAGAAGTCTCCTACCCAGTGCACCCAAATATCCTTTAATCCTTACTTATTTTTGTAAAATCCGATTCACCCTATTTTCTACACAAATAAAGAAAAAGAAAAGAACAAAGATGGATGAAAGATAAATTCAAACAAAAGCACAGGACAAACTGGTTCATCATTGGTACAAATCACAAGCTACATGGAGTTTGAAGGGGGAAAGCCATTCTACATACTGTGCCAGGAGCTATACATTGCAAGTCATTGAAATGGTAAACCTTAGCTATATGCGGTATACTGTCTGCAGGGTTGTCCACTTGCCAGATCTTTGATGTAATCTCACGTTACTGTGTCTTTTCTCCGTCAGGCGGTGTGGAGAAAGCTGGATGAAGCCGTTGGATCCAGCAAACTGTTTTAAAAGACCCTTAAAGACACCAAGGGAGCCACCAGAGGTCCCAACATCCCTACACTGCTGCTCTGGACTGGAGGCTCTTCAGCACAGTGTGTGTTCTGTCAAACCAGGGTCTCCTCAGCCTGAAGACAGAATGGATATCCTGTCCTGCAAGACATTCATAACAGCCACTCTTCTACTCTGGGTCACAGACTTGTGCTGTATCTCATCTTGGAAACCTTCCTTATTACACTGCCATGTCGTACTCTGTGAACACTGCGCAGTGTGTACATTTAGACCATGTTGTGTTGTCTCAAATCACACACTGCTGCTGTGCCATCGCCAGAAGTGATGAATGCTGCTGTTAGCTAGCTAGCAATGTTATCGTTTGCGGTAGCCAATCATTACGTACTGCTCAATTTACCCAATAGAAAATGGATAGCTTCTTTTCAACACCAGTGAAGTGATACGTTAATAAATTGAGAAAAAAGGCCAAATGTATAACCTTTATTTTTAAAGTGCTACGTTCACAGGAGCAAACAAATCACGGCTGGAGTTGCACAGCAATCCACATAAAGTGTTTTAATCGTTACTCCTACATTTTGCCATGCTTTTTTATTTTTTTATTTATTGGGAAAATATCCAAAATGCATTGCTTTTTTGGTCATTGAGTTATACCTTGAAGGGGCATTTTAGAGAAAGAAGAGGGCTGTGTAAAATATATATATATTTCAGTATATAGATATCTATTTAGGTAACCTTGGACTAGCATGACTTGTATTTCTAAATAAGCTGTATATAGCTGACAGTATTTTAGCAGTCGATCATAGTGATATGAACACATTGAAAAAGGCCATTTGTTGGTGATCGTAACATGAGGAGGAATTTCTGTCAGAAAAAGTACACAAAAGAAGTAAAAGTACCTGTGATTGAACAGGATACTTATATCTGATGATCTGAACAACCAATTCATATAATGTTGGGCAAGTTTAACTTACAGTATAAAAAGGCATTGTGTTTAACATCCTATAGTCTGTTTCCAGACCTCTGATCACTACAGAATCTCCAATTGGTTCAGTGATCGATAGTGAATGTATCCCAGCAAAATGGCAATTAATTTGAATCTAAAATGTTAGGTCAGATACATTTGGATTCAAAAATATGTAACATAAAGCCTAAAAAGTCAATACTTACATTGATCATTGGGCCACTATAATAAAAGGACATGTACTTAAAAAACTGAGAAATATCTGTTCATACAAATATTTGTATCTTTTAGTTGAATTTTTAATTTGGGAATGCTGTCAGTGAGGAGGAAGGAAAAAGTTACCAGGGGAGTTTCAGTGATGGCTGCCAGTCTCCATGTATCCACTAGGTGACACCATAACCCCATGAAATGGAATCTGGAAGGACACTATAGTGAGATGAGAGTGTTGCATATGTGTGTTGATGTCTGTGTAGTTGGTATCCTAAATCTACCCTAACATGTGCCCTGTGGCTCAATAGTGCACAAATAAAATCGACTTTGTACATATTGTAAAAAAAATCCCAAATTAGGATCAATAAAGTATATCTAATCTAATCTGATGAACACTCAACACCCATGTGTGAGTATATTGCAATTGAGACACACCAAAGGTTTATACTTGCAAAGGTATTAAGTAAAGCTTTTACGAAAGTTTTTTGAAAAAAGGTTTTATTTAATTTGTCTTCCTTTGTGAGATTAACTGTAAAAAGATGAATTAGAATAGTGAAATTACATTACATTTTATATCAGTATGAGGTCTGATTATGTCCATTACAGTCCATTACTCTAATGGCGCTTTTCCACTGCAGGGCCTCGCTCGGCTTAGTACGGTATGGCTAGGCCTCGTTAGGCCATGTTAGGCCAGGCTCACTTTATGCTGCGTTTCCGTAACAGTTTAGGAACTGGGGTAGTATCTATATTAACGCAGTGAAGGCGGAGCCGTGACGTGATCTTCAATGCGAAACACAAAACCAACATCAGCCGTTAGCTGTTATCCCTCAGAGCTCACAGCTCCTCATATCTGTTCAGAAACTAGAAAAAGGTAAACAAGTACAAACCACAGACTGCCTGTGTCATGGTGAATACAGTCGCTGCTTTATTTATGTCTGTATAGGCCGTTGTTGTGAGTGGATATACTGCGTTAGCTTAGCCAAGCTCCATTCAGAAAACACGCATTTTAAAAGGTTTTTCGCCTGCCGTCTGTCTGCAGACTTGTCAAAGCATTAATTCAGTGTTTACTAACCGGTATCAGTATGTTGTTACTTCGGCATCATTTTGAAACGTGTATTACAATTAAATCACGGTCAAATATGTTCATTTTGTTGTAGTTGCCAGCTATTCTCTCACTAGTTTAGCATACTCAGCCCGGTTGTTGGCCCGGAAAGAACCTCGATTTTGGAGAGCCAGAAAACTGTGAAATAGTACCCGCTAGCCGGTACTACGCCTAGTGGAAACGCAACCAAAAACGGGCCGGGCACGGCACGCTTAAACCGCGCTCTGCGCTGTAGTGGAAATGCGCCATTATAGAACCATTGTGTATTTAGGATATTTGTGTTATCTCTCCAAAGAATGTGTAATTCATTCACAACAACCATACAGCATTTCAACAGAAAGTAAAGTTCAGTCAGCCAGCTCCTGTAAAATTGATTATTATGTAAATGAAGAATATGTACAGTGGTCTTTGACTTCTTCACTCCCCACACAAGGCAACAGCTAAATGAGCACAACAGGGAGTGAGGAGAGACCCTTAAACCCCCCACAGGGAAGTTAACTCAGGGGCTACAACCTGTCCTTAGGTGGAGGCAAGCTAAAAACATCTATATATCCAGCAGCAGCAAGTGTCGGCAGAGCTTTCAGGTGAGCAGTGATACATCAGGCATGTTGGCCAGACTGAGCTCCAGCTGTAACAACGTGAAGCAGCACAGTCTAGTGCAGTGTTTCTCAAATAGAATGTTGCAGTAATTACATATTCTTGTAGGCCCACCCTGAGGTTAGCATCCGTAGGGCTCAATCGACAAAATAAGATAAGCGTAAATGCATTCGGCAGCAGTAAATAGCTAACGTTAGGCTAGGAACACCACGTCACCACCTCTAAGCTAAAGGCGGCTAATGTTTGGCGTGACAACACAGTCTTTCGTGTATCTATTGATTCGTGTTCACCAACACGATTTCCCCATTTTTTTCGTGTCACACAGAACGATTTTAAAAGCAATGTAAATAATAACAAATTAGAAGGAAAAAGAGATTAAAAAAAATACAGATTTCAGTATTCTGAGGCTCTGAGCCCCATTTCTTCTCCTCGCGGATGGCAAAAAAACTCAGACATTATACTATTTAAAATAAAAGGGTTAGGGTTAGGCTTAGGGTAAGATATTGAGTAAGAAAATGTTTTTATGAACCACACAGCTTCTGGTATTCCAAGACCCGACCGGACAAAAAGACGTGTTGCAGGCACGAAACATACTACCAATAAAAATACATTGCTTTTAAAATCGTTCTGTGTGACACGAAAAAAATGGGGAAATCGTGTTGGTGAACACGAATCAATAGATACACGAAATGCCGTGAGACTGTGTTGTCACGCCAAACATTAGCCGCCTTTAGCTTAGAGGTGGTGACGTGGTGTTCCTAGCCTAACGTCCTATAGTCTGTTTCCAGACCTCTGATCACTACAGAATCTCCAATTGGTTCAGTGATCGATAGTGAATGTATCCCAGCAAAATGGCAATTAATTTAAATCTAAAATGTTAGGTCAGATACATTTGGATTCAAAAATATGTAACATAAAGCCTAAAAAGTCAATACTTACATTGATCATTGGGCCACTATAATAAAAGGACATGTACTTAAAAAACTGAGAAATATCTGTTCATACAAATATTTGTATCTTTTAGTTGAATTTTTATGTTCCTGTCTGAAGTTAAACTTACAGGAATTGAAACGTACTTGTGTATCAGTGTGAAATAGTTTAAATGGCTCAAGTCAAAACAAGGGCAAAATCTTCTTCTCATTTGAGTAATCTTGTTGGCACTGGGCGAGAGCTGTTGGTGTCTGAACTGCCAACTGTGAGGGATATCCTGAGGTATGGCAGCTACTTGAGGGATCAAAGTAAAGATGACATGGGGAACTACCCAGTGGACCAGCTGGTGGGTGACATCTTCCCTGGTCTGATTGGTCAGTGGAGCAAAGCGAATGCTCTTTTCAAGCCACCTGTTATTAATGAAAAGGTGACCATCATGTCCAAGCTCAAGGAGGTCTGGAATCAGGCAGAGAAGTTTTCCCTTGGGAAGGGCAAACTTGATGCCAAAGAGAGGTTCAATGTCAAGGTAGACAAATTATTTGGCCACTTGATAGCAACCACCGTTTTAATGATACATACACGCTTCAGACATTCAATGGTGGTGTGTTGACTGGCATATTTTATGTCGTAGGTCGGACAACCTACAAATCTTGTAAGCCAGACCTTATTTTAGGAATTGTACCAAAAATGTATTTAAAAGAAAAAGATTTAATTTGAGGCGTGGTAGCTTGCAAATGCTAAAATGCTAACGGATTTCCAGGTTAATAATGACCCATTCTTGGACCACTCTATTGGGGTATGTGTGCCCCTAGGGGTACTTCGGAGTACTGCAGGGGGTAAGAAAGATTTTTTTTTTTTAAATGCTCGCTTCACATTATCCCTTGTTTTTTGTATTGGTAGTTGGTGATGGGAAATCATCGAAATGTTCCCTGTGGCTATTCAATGTATCATGTCATGTCATCTGACTTTGAGTTGCTCAGACACAAGCAATCTTAACACGTAAAAAACAGTGAAACATAAAGATCAGTACCTTCCTTTCGGCATGTCTGAGTTCACTAACAGCCTCTTTAGGTTATTTAATCTTAAAACCAATTCAGTTTGTCTATCCGTAGAAATGTGTACTGTCTCCAGCACGTTGTGAAAGATGATTAGCATTGAATGACCCCTGCTGGAGTTACGGATTAAATCGCAGGGTGAAAGCTTTTAAAGTGAGCTATGAAGTCAGACTCGTAAAACCGTAACTGCATTGTTTACTTTGCAGAGAGCAGGTGTAAGAGGGTTAAATGCGGTCCTTAAACCACAGCCTAGAGCCTGTAGTTTCCACTGTAACAGTTATTATTAAAGTCTTATCTCGCACCCCTGCTCTTGTCCGCATGCTACTTCGGCTCTGCTGCCTATTCATTAACAACATCCATGCACATTTTTTGTAATACACGTACAACACTTTCTGCATGAAATTAGTTTTGATGCTGTGTTAAGAGGTCATGTTGCCAGCTTAAATGACCAGGCTGCCCAGTAGGCAAAGCTCTAAATGACCACTAGACCTCTGTATATGTGATCTCATCAGTACAGACATAAGTACAGAAACCAACATGAGTTCTTTGGGTTTGGGTTACCCTCAGGGTTAGGGTGAGGAACTCAGACAATTGGAACAGCTTGTACTACAACTGCTGATTCTTGGCATTAAAGGAGTTGTTGTTGCTGGTATGCACATCTGGAGGTGTTGATGCAAGCACATCTAGTTTAAGGGAGCCAGAACATGCAGGAGGTAAACCATGACCCATCTATTCTCGGTCCACCTTGACAACCACAAGAAGAGCTTGACAAAGATGCTGGACAACGGGTTATCTCAAGTAGTTTGCTACCATAACAACCAGGTCCCAAATCTGTTTGGTGATCCCCTGACCATCAAACTAAATGTTTGCCTTGAACCCTTGACAATCCTTAATGAGTTATCTCCCAAACAACTGTCTAGGTTACCAGAAAAGTTTTCTGTGTGTTAAATATTATTCAAGCTCCCCAGAGGATTAACTAATTTGAATACTTTATAGGTTCCTTCCTTCCACAGTCAAGTCAACCTTTGAGTACATTTAGATCCCAAATCTGTCTGGTTTTCTAAAAAAGCAACATGTATTTATGGGTTTAATTTGCTTTAGTTTAAGTGTGATGTTAATAACGCCAAGGCCACTGGTTCAAAACCTATATGGGCCCAACGTTCTTTAAGGGGGGCTGTAACTTAGGAACTTGGCTTAGGAGGGTCCCTGCTTGTAGTCCTTGAATGGATCAAGTGTGGAGTGTGGACTGGTACTCTTGGAGGTACCATTTAACCTCCTAGGCAATGCAGAGGTGCCGTTAAGGAAGGCACCAGACCACAACACTAATACCAGGACGCTGTATACTATATAATACTGGGAAGTGTTAAATGCAGAGACCACATTTGCGGTGCTGATTTCGATTGACTCCTCAATGGTCATGTCCATTTGTGTTCAAACATTTCTCTGTTCTTTGTGAACATACAGCCTTTTCCTACTCAGTATGATACCTAGCTTGAAACTGAAAACAGAAAAGTTCTACTGAAAACAGAAACATGTCCTTTTAAAACTGCCAGTAGAGAAACAAAACATAAGGCCTTCAGTCCTGTGTTTTTGTGTAATCTCTTTCTCTCTCCGAACCACTTTATTGACGTTCTCTCCAAACAAAAGAGAAAAAACATTATGCCGAGGAAGAATTGGGCAAAGTGCCGG